TCTCCAGGTACATTTCTGAGAAATTGAACTAAGTTGAGTGTGTATTTTAATAACCTCTTAAATACAAAATCCAAACAAAATTCATGTAGATACAGCCCTAGGTGAGCTCACAACAGCACACAGCCTTTCAGGCCCACTATGATCACAAAGTAGATGTAGATGATGTAGAAAGCCAAGATGTGACTTTGCAATAAAACCTCTAAAAACGAACTCGCTAAGTACAACACAAATCCATTTCTAAATCGTAATTAAAGTTCTTTCAAAAGCAGCAGGTATCTATCCTAGCAGAAATAATGGTAAATACCGGAAAAATCCTAAGCATGCAGATGACTAATTTCTAAGCTATACTATGCATATATGCAGTCTATAAAAGCTTACTAAGAATTATTCGACACTTCGAATCCCCATATAAACACCGAAGCCCTCCCTCGGCCACCGCAGGTACCAACAGCGTATACACGAACACAACTAGATCCATCAGTAGGGAAACGCGAGGGCAGCTACAGGAAACGGCAGTGCCACTATACTGCTGCTCTCCTCGAAGGCTTCATCGTGTCTGTTCCTCCAGGCACTTCCAGCACAAACACCGAGGCTGCAGACATTCCCACCTGCTCAGCCCAAGGGGAGCCCTGGAAGCCCCGCTGCCCACCTCCCATCACAGCCCCGCGGTCACAGCCCCCTCCCGCCAGCGGGACGCGCCGACATGGGACTACAGGCGAGGAAACACATTTCTTCCCTCTCCCCGATGCCCAGGTGCGCCGCCCCGTCCCTCCGCCGCCGTAATTCCTTTCCTGCCTCCCCCAGAAAGAAGGGGACACCCTTCCCGCCCCGCCGACCTTTCCCGGGAGCCGGCCCTACCCGAAGGCGGCCCCGCCGTCCCTCGGCGGTGCCCGGCGGGCCCGGGGCCGCCGCCGCCGGGCGGGAGCGCCGCAGGTCGCGGAGGGAGGGAGAGCGGGCAGGAGCCGCGCCCGCCCGGGCGGAGAGAGCGGCAGCCCGCAGACCCCCCCCCCGCGGACCTCCACGGCACTGGGGTCCCTCGGGGCGGCCACTCCCCGCGGGGACGGCGAAGGGCCCGGCGGCTGCGGCGCCGGCGCGGCGACGCGAGCGGGAGCGCCGCCCACTGCCGCCATCTCTCACCTCCCCGCCCCGACAAACCTCCAACCGCCGTTCCTCTTCTGCCTCGGCGTCCCGGCCGCGGGAAGCGGGCGGAGGAGGAGAGGATGCGGCGGCGGATCCGGTGTCTCTACCGGGCTGCGGAGGCGGCGGCAGCCCCGGGGCGCGCAGGCGCTGCCGCTCCCCCGCCTCCCCCTTCTTCTTCTTCTCTTCCCCTCCTCCTCCTCCTCCTCCTCCTCCTCTCCCCCCCCCCGCCCGCCCGTTACGGACGCCGCGCCCCGCCCCCGTGTGCGCATGCGCCGGAGCGGGGAGCCGCCGCCGCCGAGGCCCGCGCGCCAGGCCCGCCCCGGTTTCCTGTTTCCTCTCCCCCGCGAGCGCCCCCTGCCCGCGCCGCCGGGACACCGGCGCTTCCCCGGGACGTGGAGCGGCCACCCCCCGGCGCCCTCTGCTGGGAGGAGCGACTCACAGAGTCACAGGCTCAATTAGGTTGGAAAAACCACCTATGACCGAGCACCACCATGTCGACTCGACTGTGGCATTGTGTGCCTCGTCCCGTCGTTTCTTCAACACCTCCAGGGATGGTGACCCTGCAACCACCACCCTGGCCAGTTCATTCCAATGTTTAATCACCCTTTCTGAACTGAAGAATTCCTCCTCATATCCAACCTGAACTTCCCCTGATACAGCTTGAGGCTATGTCCTCTTGTTCTGTCACTGGTTGCCTAGGAGAAGAGACCAACCCCCACCAGGCTACAACCTCCTTTCAGGAAGTGTAAAGAGTGATAAGGTCACCCCGAGCCTCCTTTTTCCAGGCTAAACAACCCCAGCTCCCTCAGCCTCTCCTCATAGGACTTGTGCCCCAGACTTGTTGCAGCCTGGAGGCCTGCAGGCTTCAGGGTTAAAGCCTGGCCCAGCCATGTCCCGCTCTGCCTCCCAGCATTGCTTCATCCCCCTGGGATCCACCTGCAAGCTGAGCCTGGCCATGTCCACTTTACATTCCAGTGCCTCCTCTTCCCTCTGGGACTTGCCTTTGGTCCTTTGGCCCTCCTGGAGTCCTGGAATGTCCTTTGGCCAAGCACAGGTTTGCTGGCCCTTGAGCAAATGCCACTTGAGGCTTGTGGGGCATGGAGCTTGCCTCAGGAGAAGAGGAAGTGACAGGGGCATGGGAGGCAGGAGTGGGTTTTATTCTCATATGGGCCCTTCACTTAAGAGTTGGACTCAATGATCCTTGTGGGTCCCTTTCCACTCAGAATATTCTGATTCTGTGACTCTGATTCTGACTCTGAAGGCTGATGGGAGGTCTGAGGGAAAGAAAAATCCTGATAAATGCAACTTTTTAAAAGCTAGTGAGTGTCATTTATTTTCTTTATTTCTCTTTGGGTCCACTCACCAAAAGAAAAGCTAGGAGTTTCGCTTCAAAAAGGTGAAAGTATGATGGATGAAGGAGCTGGGGATTTAAAACATCTGACATGAGTCATATAATCATTGAATGTTAAGGTTGAAAGGAACCTTAAAAATCATCTAGTTCCAACCCCCCTGCCATGGGCAGGGGCACCTTTTACTAGACCAGGTTTCTCAAAGCCCCATCCAACCTGGCCTTGAACACTGCCAGGGATAAGGTATCCAGCAACCTCCCTGGGCAGCCTGTTCCAGTTTCTTACAACCCTCACAGCAGAGAATGTCTTCCTAACATCTAGCCTAAATTTTCTCTCTTTCAGTTTGTACCCATTACTCCTTGTCCTGTCACTACAAGTGGCTGGTTGCACTAAGTACAAGCGCTGCCATCACTGGAAAGGACAAGCTTTGGCTGGGGAGGTCTGCGAGGATTGAATCAGTCATCCTTCCCAGGCATTTTATATTTTGTGTCTTGGTGCAAAGAACACGTTTAATCTGAACATTACAGTAAGAAAAAAAAACAGAGGTTTTGTGAATTTCCCAACACAGAAATGAAAACAATCTCTAAGCATCCGTACCTCTTTGTTTTTCCTTAGCCACTCACCTGCCTGCATAGCTCATGCACTGTGCTTTCTTCTCCTGCCACCTGCCCCAGTACCTGAGCACTGTATTTGGAGATGTGCAATTCCAGAGTAGCAACTGAGATTCTCATCTCCTGTAAAGACCCATCACAGAGTCAAATTGCAACCTCACATTTCGTGAATTCCTGTCATACATGGTGGAGTACACTGTACTGCAATAAGTGCTTCTCCTGTTCATATGGAAAGCACATTACATTTCTCAGCCCACTTAGCCATGTTAGGATTGAAGAGCATTGCTCCCTTTACTCCATACTGAACAACTGGCAAACCTTGGAAACAAATATAAACTTGGCCTTGTATTGTCTGATTTTTTTTTCCTACAAGAAGTGTCTCTAACAGTAGATTTAATCAGAAGATGGGTAATACTTCCCTTCTTTTTTTTAATGTAAGTTCCAACATACAAAAGGGAAATACCGGATTCACTTAGAGATGCAGCTTAAACATCTGCAAGATGAGACTGCCAGCTTTCTGTACACCAGCTGAAGGCCTTTACCATTATTCCTACCCTCATGTTTTGACTCTCCTCCCACACATTGACTGAAAAAGGTCCCCTGCGTCACTGCTAAATAAGCCTCAGGTGGGAGGGGGAGTGGACAAGTAGCAGCTGCCTGCCATAAAGAGGGTAAGCAGAGAACGTGGTTACTTTCTTCCTGGGCTGTGAGAAGCAGCAACCTTAGTTTTGAGGGGCTCTAAGGGGGGCAGGAATAGCTTAGTTTTTGGAGGGGGGGGAATTGTTTTTGTGGGTTATTTTCTTTCCCTACATTACTGTCTCTCTGAAAGGTCAAAATAATTCTGGGAGCTTTGGCCTGGGAGAGTGTGTAGGCTTTTTGATGCTTTCAAGAGCTGGACAGGCCACCCTGCATGGAAACTGAAGAGGGCTCCAGTGTTCCTAAAAGTGTTCTGAAACTCTAGGCTGAAGGGTGTGCTAGTTTGTAACAGGTCTTGAATTAATTTTCCTATAACTTTAAAGTGCTTAAATTCTCCACAGATTTGAGCTGGTGTTGTTTTTTTATTATTATTGTTCTGTGCAGTCACCAGATCTTCTGTGTTCTCCGATTTCTTATATTCTTTTTTATAACCTATGTGTGATAGGGTTGTATCACTTGCATGGGTAGGAATGGGCTGAGATTAGTGTGTTAGTTAACTGAAGAAATAAGTGTGGGAGGAAGTTCCATCTTGTGAATTTTTTATGATTCTGAATGCAAACTTACACATAAGGATTTTGGTGGGGTTGTTTTTGTTACCTATCATTTGGTTTAAGCATAGGAAGCGTGGTGTCACTGAAATATTTAGTTTACTATGTCAGCTATCATTGTTCTTAAATAAACTATAAAGTACAAATCCTGAATTAATGGAATTCTTATTGTGATGTGTAACAATATGTATTAGCATTAAGAAGTGTTTCCTTTCTGAAGCATTAAATGTCTGATAGTGTGAAGCCTTCTGTTGCTTTTTTTTTTTTTTTTTTTTTGTTTGGTGGCCTCTTGCTCAGGGCTGATTGACTGGAGGCTTTTTCTTTTAATTGGCTGGGATGCCAATTAAAAATGCATGCATCTAAGACTACTAAAGTTCTATGACTGTCCTGTGTCTTTAAAGCACGTTATAAGGTTGGCTTGAAGGACTAATATTGAAAACTGCATATAAAAGCTAGCTTAGCAAAGGACAACTGAAATATTTGACCTTGATAGTAACGTCAGTCTTCTACTTTCTGTTTGGAAGACAGTAGCTTTCTTTTGGAAGGATCTCATTTCTTTGGGCTGGGAGAGGAATGTCTGCTAAATTCTGACAGCATAAAATCATTAGGTTGTGCAGTTTTTAAGTGATTGATAATGATCCTTTCTCTCTTTCGGTGTTTAAAGAAAAATGAATACTGCCTCAACTTCAGAAAGTGGATCATATTCCCCAAGCAACTCAAGACCCTTTTTTTATGCTCAGCCATCAGCACAACAGCCTTATCCAAATCCATGGTACCTCAGCCATGGATACAGTCCATATTATGTACCTGCTCCAGGTAAGGTAAATGAGAGCTCTCTGCGGTAGCTTTGCTTAGTAAGTTACTGTAGTAAGTTACTGCTAGAGCAGAGGAAACAAATATGTATCTATGTTAATGGGATTCTTGGGAGCTTAAGTGAAAATGAATGTAATGCTTCAGTTGTCAAAAATCTGATTTATTAAGTATTACTTAAGTATGTAGCCTCTGTGGTAGAAAGCATCTGTTCCTGGAGAATGGAAGCTAAGCAAAATATTAAGTAATGGTCATCCTGCAGACACAGAGCTCTAGAACATGCCAAGCAATTAATATGCATGTGTATATATGAGTTCCATATGTGCATACACAATAGGTATGGATATATGTAAGCTTAAAAAATTATTTAAAAAATAATTATAAGAGAAGTATTGTTAAATACATCTTGTAAGCGCTATACTTATGTTAACTTCTATCCGGAGCTGTCTTTTTCAAAGATAATGCTACAGCAATATTCCATGAAATAACAAAAAAAAACCAGGTACAGAAAACTAAGTGGTGAATGTTCCAAGGAATGAAATCAAGCTCTGGTTAAAGTGTAGGTGTCCAGATAAGCTATTCCATAACAAGAAACTCTCTCTGAGTTTTTGCACCAGATTTGTTTCCAAGCATTGAAAGGTGGAGTGCTTTATTTAATGATGTGTCTGATCTTGTAGCTGTCCCTGTGTATGCAAGTAAATATTTATCAGGATGACTTATTTCAGAAGGAAAATATATTTATCTTTTTATCACCAACGTCTAGGCTTCCGAAGTGGAAATCCATATTTGCCGTTTTATTCTGTTGCGCTCCATGAGTACCCTGGATTTTTTGTTCCACAGCATCCAATGCATGCAAGAGTTAACAGAAGGCCTTATTTTAATGCTGCCCTACCTTCCCCTATGTTTTATCATGCAACAAGATTTAGACACTATAATACCCCTGGGAAAAAAACGGAGACAAAAGAAACACAGACTGATCCTAGACAGCCTGAAAGCAAGCAAAAAAAGCATCAAGATATCCGTACAGAAACGAAAGGTTGTGATGCAGGAAATATGGCCTGTGTTTCTTCTGGTATAGGTACAGAGACTGAGAGTACCTCAGAGAAACAGGATTCATCTGGATCTTCCATTGTGGTAGACAGAGAGTTTCATAACAAGGACCCTGCCAGCTCTACACAGTATAGAAATCTTCCTACTGGAAGCTATGCCTTTGAGAAGGAAGAAGTGAGGATAGAATATGGAAATGGCTCTCCAGCTATTCAACTGTGGAAGTCCTTTAAAGAAACTATCCCTTTGTATGATGTGGCAAGTGGTAAATCAGTCCCAGAGAACATAGTGCCATGTGACTTATTTTCTGTTAGCTCATGTGAAGGCATGATATATGGCCCTCATGAAAGGAGGCAAATGGTGCCAGGAGCTTCCTTAGATGAGAGACAAGCTGTTGTCTCCACAAAACAGGGTGCTGAAGCTGTGCAAGAAAAAGATGTCCAAAATAACAAAGTGCAGCTGGATGCAGAAAAGCTAGCAAATACAAGTCAACAGGCAAAATCCCCCCCAGGTGAAACCATGGCAGTACAAATCACAGAGCTGGCAAGATCTGTTGGCATAGATAGACCAGTGGTAAGACAGGATGTGGTAATAGCTAAGAAATCTAGCACTAAAAAATCTGCAGGCTCTATTCAACAAGCAGGACTGCTTCCATCTAATATGGAGGTAATGAGTGACTTGAGTTTTCAGCAGAAAAAGCTGAGTTTAAGCCACAGAGCAATCAATGAAAGCCAGACAGGTAAAAGTATTTGGTGTGACAAATCAATTGAGAAGGATGCTACAAACTATGACATTTGTTTGCCACAAAGGAAGTGTCAAAGTGTAATCAGTCCTTCTTCTGATGACACGTCCTCTAGAGAAGAAGGCTCATCAAGTGATAATGCCCCAGTGTCTTATTTTGTCCCTGACTATGTGCTTCAGAAAAGCATGTATACTTCTCAGAAAAGTACAGATGGCTTGGAGAAAGAGAAAATTAAAAGTGGTGGGTCCCTTAATGAAGATGAAGCGGTAGAAAAGGAGCAGATGAACAGCTTGAATGATCAAGATGACAATTCTTCAGCCACTAAGGTTAAAGAGGCTTCCAGTAAAGGTAGAAAGCTGGGAGCTGTTTCAAGATCTTCTACTAGGAAAGAAATCAATTCTCTCAACAAAAAAGCAGCTAAAAGTTTGTCAGAAGTTGAGGACTCAGAAGAATATTATGTGAAGGGTGAAGAGGAGGATGAAGATGGAGAGGATGAGGAGGATGAGGATGATGACATGGATGAAATGGAGTATTTCTTTCAAGAAACCCTTCCATATGGCATTTTGACACCAAATAAAGGAAGCTTCTACCAAGTTGGCCGGAGAGTGCTTTGGAAACCACCTAAAAATGCTGTACCAGCACAATTAATTAGCTGGCCTGCTCAAGAGAAAATGAAAACTAGGAGTGGGCTTGTTGAAAATATTGGTGTAGTTTACAAGCCAAAGGAGAAAGAACAAGATGAAGTTGTATATAGTGACTATGGGTATTATGGAAGAAAGAGGCCTATGACAAGAAGAGAAGGACTTGAGCACCAGCGAATGCTACGGAAATTCTTGGGAGGTAAGCTAATTGCTGAGGATGAAGTGCTGATTAATAGCATACACAAAACACCTAATTGCAGTTGCAAATTGTAGCTTGAACCAGTGGGAAGATTAGAGGAGGTTGTAGCTTTAGGTTTGGCTTAGAGCCAGATGTCCTGCAAAATACTTTTTTCAAGCAGAAGGAGTTTGCTGCATTTTTTAACCTATTGCATAATGGTTCTGCATCTTCACAACCATCAGAGAACAGTGCAGAAACTCTCCTTTGACTCAGATTTGATATACTTCACTTTCTGGCATTAGTGGCAATTTATTAATTTGAAAAGCTTAAGGTCACTTGAACTACATGTTTACTGGTGCTTAATATCTTGGAAGCTCTGCATTTAAGTTTATACAAACAGTCTGACTCTCCTATCACAGGCTCATGCTAGGTGCACTAAACAGGATTAAGTTCATTATAATCCAGTGGATATACCCTGTATAACTTCTCTGCAGAAGGGGAGTCAAATAGTTACTTTTTTTTTTTTAATAGCAGCTGTTGCTTTTTTTTAGAAACAAAAGTTTTGCTGTATTTTCAGAAAAAGCAGTCTGAAACTATTAAATTTGACCTGGAAAAGAATATCTTATTTACTCAAAGGTAGATGTTAGAAATTAGATTCATCTAAGGTGAGAATAAGCAGTTATGTGGGCACCTTAGTAGGTGGCTGCTGTTTAGTATAGTCTTATATTATGAAAGACAATCATTATATTTACTTTTAATAACAGGCTTACTGTTCTTAAACTTTTTCTTTCTACAAAATCTGTAGACTTGTTTTTGTCAAGTGTGGCCTTCAGAAAACTGTTTCTATTTCAATAGACTCCTACAATTAGATTCAGTAGCTAGGTTTGCATTCTGGCTTGTGGATCAAACAGTATATTAGCAAAACTAAATACTGACCTTAAATCAACTTTTTCCTTTTTTTAATTAGGAAGGCTGCTAAGGGAGACCGTGGGGATGCTGCCTGAAGAGTATTGGATTAGAAGTGGTGCTAAACCCAAATTCAGTAGCCAAATACATGGTAGTCTCTCACCTCAAGCCAAGAGCAAAGACCAAGGTACAACTTCCTCAATGTGTTTTTGTTCTTAAGGAACATTCAAAAAGATATGGTACAAAATAGCAAGCATATGATATTTGGATGAGGTTTGAAAATAATAAAACTAATTCTTGTTGTCTGATATTGATGAAATGCCTTTCAGTCAGTACATCCTGGGCATATTTACAGCCTTGTCAAACCCTAACAGGGGAATAAGAATGCATTATAGGTACTTTGGGTTTTTTAAAGGCATTATGGGAAATCAAAGCATCAAATGCTTTGACGTGGCCAAGTGAAGCCTTTATTTATGTAAAGCTGTTACTGCCATAAACTCTAATATTAAATCTTTACCCAGATAATGCTTCTCTTGAGTGCATATGCAGTGGTAGCTCCTAATCTTCTGATCTTATGTTTGAGTAAAACATATGGGGAGTGATGTGGTAGCTACATAGGCAAATGATCAGGGAAACTAGCACAGGCCAACAGTTGCCCTGATGCTGCTAAAGGATGACTGAGTGCAAATCATTGTGATCTCGTCAAGGAAAAGATGAAGAAATCAAATATTCTAGCAAAGTAAAAGGTTAGATAGTTTCAATACCTTTTTATTAACTCCTGAAGCAGAATGTTTTTTCTTTACAATTAATATTTACTTGGAGTTCAGATCTGTTTTGGGTGCTTTTTAAGAGTGTTTCTTGGTATCATCATCATGGCTAGGCTTTGCGAACAAAGATTTGGGAAGGGCTTTACCCACACTTGCTACAAGTGTGCTGGTGGCTAAAAAGGCCTGGAACAGCTATAGAATTTGTTGTAGTGCTACTCTCCTGGGTCACATGCCTTCAAGTATCTCAGGATCAGTCTATCAAATAATGGAGTGTAAAGCTGTTTTCAGAACAGACTGACTCGCTTCTCTTCAGTTCACTGATAATATGCATCAGATTTTCTGTATCAACAGCCTAGTAGACTATTCTTTAGAGTGTATTCCTCAGAGCTCTCTCTCTCTGCATTGCTTTCTTGCTTAAGCATATTGGGGTTTGGGATTATTTGCATTTTGCATTGGAGGCTTTCTATCCACAGACTTCAGTGTTGTAGGGGTCCTTTTTATTCTAGAGTGCTCTACAAAAGTTGAAAACATTTTACTTTAGCAGCACTGTTCTTAGCTCCTCTACAACAATTCATAAAAGTATGATAATAGTTCTAAAATAATTTTGTTACTTTTAACTTTCAGCATGTTTCTTCTATCTCTTTGAAGTCACAGATGGTCCACCATACTGAGGATGTTTGGTCTATGTGTTATTCCTTGCTTTCTCCTCCTCCTTTTCCAGCCTGTGTAGTTTGAAGAAGCTATCACAGTGTTAGGAAGCAGGAATCAGTGTTTTCTGAATGCTGTTCATGCCAACGGATACCTCAGAAGTGATAGTAAAATCACATCCTTTTTAAAATGTTGCCTTTTTTTAATTAGGAAGGCTGCTAAGGGAGACCGTGGGGATGCTGCCTGAAGAGTATTGGATTGTTTTTTCAAATTAATCTTAAATTTAAGCTCCTGCAAGTAAGGGGGGTTGGCTAGAGATATAGATATATTGCTTTAGCAGTAATATCATATGCTAAATTTGACTTCTTGAAGCGTGTACCTGTGGTGCATAACTTTACAGGTCTGAAGGATTAAGTTTTCTAAAGACAGTGAATGAGTTGGATCACTTGGAGAGCTATCAACTAGCCTTGAACACTTAGACAGACAGTGAGCTAGAGCACAATTATCCAACTCTCATTGGGTACTTTTTTGCCATACTAACACCTATCCAAATTATGACCCAATATACAATGCATCCAGAATTATGGTTAGACAATGATTCAATATTGTAGACATACAAGACTGGCTTGACATGTGTAGAGTCAATTTTATCAGCTAATAGGCACATAGAAGGGAGGGAGAAAGAGGAACATCACAGGCCAGTTGTTGAAAGACAAGGTTAAATTTGTCTTGAAGAAATAACACCAGTTGTATCTTGCTATTTAGGATGCCCACCTTCGGTTAAACCAAAGAAGAAAAGAATAGGCAAGCCACCTTCAAAACGCAGGGACACAAGACTTGAGGTGGAAGAAGTGGTGTGGGAAATGCCTAAATACAGTATACACCAAGGTTAGTATACAGTGACAAGCTACAAAAACAACAGTTACCAGTATTTTTTCATTACTGTCTCAGGGATTAATTTTTCTCTGTTTGAACTGCAAGGATGTTGGACAGCTTGTGAAATAACAGCAAATGCTACGTATGTGGATAAGATAAGGGGTGGGGAAAAAAAGGCAAGCTAAACTTTGTGCACTTAGTCACCTTGCTATGAATACCAGTGTAGCTTTGACCAGGTTAGGTTCCTTGTCTTTGCTTAAGGTAAGGATGGGGGAGGAAATCCACACAAAAACCTACTGTTTTAGTCTAGTTGCTCTTCAGACTGCTCTATGCTTTTAAAGTGCTGGGTCCTATGTCACTTTGGAGTATATCCTTTTCTTTAAGCTACAGGTCTGTCTCAACCAAATTATTGTATTTTGATACAACACAAATGCATATAGATAATACTTAAGAACTTTATGGAGTAGGAACTTCTTGCTACTTTGGAGGAAAATGGGGAAAAATAATGGGGGAAAAATCACATTAAGTAATAATTATGCTTTTGTGTATTTGTGTGAGTCTGAAAAGGTTATAAATTGAAAAGGGGTCTGTACCTACAGGAAGCTACCTAAAAGATCAGATTTCTTTCTGGAAAAGAACAAGCTAGCATAGTAAAGTGAACTTGAATATTCCATCTGGGAACATGAGTAAAAAAATAGTCTCTTTCTCATATTAAAAAGAGGATTGCACTTCCCTGTATTTGCAAGGTTGGAAACAGATTGAAGTGTCTTATTAGTGAAAATTTGGTGTCGGTCCTGAAGCCAGATTGTTTCTTTAATTGCTGATCAGTTCTTAGTAGAAGCAACCAGGAAACTTGCACAATCCCAAAGTATTTCTTATTTGTCCCAGAAATAGTTGATGTTTCTTGGATACATTCAACACAGTAGTTACAAGAACACACTGAGAATGTGCTATGAGTTTCACATGGAACTCTTATCTGTTATGCTGGGATATTCTGAAGCCCAAAGTTACTCATGTGGAGTTTATACTTGCTGGGAAGTCGAGTACGTAATTGTAATATTGACCATCAATGCCTGCAGTAGGAAAAGGCAATACTTATGTCTATCTTTCTTTAGAAGCAAATTGACATATTGTTTGGAGGCAGAATGCATACTTCAGTCTGTCTTTCTTTTCTTTTTTTACTTTTAGGTCGTGGAACAAAAAGGTCCCTCTGTAAGAGAAGATAATTGCAAATATTGGGGCAGGAGGGGGGAAAAATGTATCAAAGGTTTGTTTTGCATAATCCAAAATTCAATTATTATTGTATATTTTGTAAGTTGCTCTGCACTCTTAAGGGGTAAGAAGTGACACTGTAAAGACTGAGGATGCTATGAAAATGGAATGAAATATTTAACACCAGTCACCTTTTTATAACTAGCACATCCACTATTTAAGTAATAAATTTCATAGAATTGCACTTTGAGACTTTTTGTATTCAATCAATACACAGCAAAAAAGCTTAACATGGGCACATATATGCACCAGTGCTGTTATAGCACACCAGTTATTGCTGCCCAGCTCCTAAACTCTGCAGGATTGTGAAGCCTGTCAGTGTCATCTCATATGTGATGTGGACATAAGCACGAGATTCTCTTCCAGCAGCTGGATTTTTGGCTGGATTTGGTTTTGTCAAAGTGTAAAGGAATATAGTTAGAGCTGTATCAAGTCCAAGTACTGACTTGAAGTTTCAAGGCAGTTCCTCAGATCTTCCTCTCTTCAAATGCATGATTGAGGACTAAAACTAAAGCAGTGAATCGATGTGATGCTTCCCCTTCCTCCCCTTCTTTTCCTGTGGAGATTTTTTGAGTCTGTTATGGAGACCTGGAGCTGCAGAGACGGATCTTGAAGGTGAAACAAAAGGTTTTGATGGTGTGCCCTGTTTCCTGACTTCTTACTGATGGCTTCTATTACAGTTGATACAGACCTTGCCAACTGACTACAGAGAAGTCTCTTTAGAGAACTGAGATGATAAAACTAGGTCTCTGCTATCTTATGAATAATGGAAATAGACTGATTTAAATGAGCTGGATAGCTCAAAAATTGATATTTTTTTAAAATGACTATAAAGGCTAATATCACCATGTGAGAAGAATAAATATGATGCTGCTAGTCTCGAATTATTCCCAAATAGAATGACAGTGTGAGTGACAAAGGCAGAGAAACTAAAAAAAAAAAAACCCACCTGTTTTTCTTTAATAAAGGGTGGAGGGATTGGACAGACAAAACTTGTCTTTTGCCTTCTCTCCCATGTTGTTATTCTGTGTCCTAGAGTAACCTACATGGATAAAAGTAGCATTTCCTGTGACTGCATTCAAATTTCACGCCTACCTAGTCAGACCTGTAACTGAGGTTATGCTGTTTGCCCTCAGTGAGGAGTACTGATGTTTCCCTACCCAACTGATCCTTGATTTTTCTGTTATTTTTAATAACACTTGCTTACTTGTTAAAGCTCTACTGTAATTGTAGCCTTTACCCCAAGCTGTTAGGAGAAAGAAACCACTCTGATGCCAAGTTTCTATTTCCTTTCTACTCTAAGCCCTTCAAGAAAATAAGGAACAGAAATTCTTATTTGGCTTTTGTGCTGCACAGAATCTCTGTTGGACCAGAACATCAGAGAATAAACTTAGGGAGGGAATTACCTCAAGCATGGAGTTTTTTAATACCCAATTCTGCTGACAGGCTTAACTATGTCTTTTGCTGCTTATCTGATGAAGAAATATTCATGACCTCAGGATCAGATGGCACTCTTTTGGGACTGGCTAATACTTGATAGGTGCTCCCAAGATCATGCTAGTCAGCCCTTTACAGGCCTTGCACTAGTCAGTGCGATTTCTACTCAGATGCAAGAAACAATTTAGAGCCTGGTGATGCTGGCTCCCAAGGAGATGTGAGGGAGTAGCAGTAGGAGTGTTTAGACAGCTCTTTGTCTGAAAACAAATGCTATTTTAAACTGATGGCTTATATCTTGTAGTATATTCATGCTATGCATCCACACCAATGCTTAAAGTAGTATGCATGAATGTTCTAGTGCTCCAGAAATAATTCTTTGATAATATATATGGTATGTGGTGTATTCTACTCAAACAGTACTAGTCCTGTGACCTTAAATCTAAGTTTTCTGCTTGCCTTTTTTTCCACTCAGCAGCATGGATGATTTGTGGATTGCATCTTAACTGGCTTACAGCTGTTATCTAATGTTCCAGTGGGTAAAATGGCCATGCTTCACAAAGGCTGTGAAGTACAAACGAACTCCATTTTAATAGGCTGTGAATTCAAGCCCAGACTCTTTTTATTCACCCAGGTAACCAGCCCCAGTGATATTTAATTTTGCAGATGCGCATACGTGTCAGCTTTTGTTACCACTGCAGCTGGACTGCCCAGTGATTCACTGCAGAGCTGGCAGGATTGTGGACTTGTAACTGTCGCAGTTCTGCATTGCCTTGGCAGCTTTCACATGCTTCCTGCAGCATCTGCTGAAGGGCAGCTGAAGAATCTATTTGCTGCTTGGCACACCAGCAACAAACCTTAGAGGCCTCTGAGGCTGCCATACTGTGATCTTCGTCTGGGCAGACTTACTGTCTGTGACTCAGGATTTCTAAATCGTTATTTGTAACTAACTGAAACCTCTGTTGCAAAGTGGGTGTGGTGTAATCACTGATGAGGAGCCAGTGGGCTATGTTGGCTTGCCAGGTTTTAATACTGTATTTTAATTTTCAGTTTGCTAGCACCTGGATGGCAAAGTTTTCCCTTTTACAATGTCCTGTTTTCTGCCTTATTTTGGAAAAAATTAATTACAGGCCTTCTTATTAAAATCAAACAGCGAAGATGGGAGTCAATGGCCAAAAAAAAAAACAATAATGCAAAACCTGTAACACTCATGGCATGCTAACTGGAGGCACACCAAGGAAAAAACAAATTCACTCTTTAAGAGTTCTCAGCTTCCCCTGACTTGCTGCCACTGGCTGTCTCACTCGACAAGGCTATAAACCCCAAGTAATTTCATGACCAAAGGAATGTGACAGATGTCAGTATTTTTCCTGAAATACCTTTCCGACAAAAATTGTTCAGAGTATTAAGATAATTAAAGCTGGGAGCTGAAGAGCTGTGAAGCTGTATTGCTTATGGGGTTTGTTTTAGCTGCATTTCATACTTATTTAGATTCCTGGAACTATACATTTATGCTATTTCTAACCCTCAGGCTTCAGCAGAACTTGCAAATGGAAGTATATGTCTATAAAGTAGGTCAGAAAAAAATTGTTTGAACAAAAACATTTAAATGGTTATGATTTAACAAATGAGGCTAATCAGTCTTTCAAGACTATAACTTTCTATCCTGCTTTCTGGGTTTACTTCTACTAAGAACAATTTTCCATTAATATAAAAGGAGTGTTGGTATTTATCTCTAGTCTACATATTTCTAAAAGACTTAGAGTCTCTCAAATGACAGCTTTGGCATTGTTTAAAATGCCAAATGATGATACAAATTGTGCTTCTCTCCTCTCTAGTGCTGGCTGCTAATCAGCACTATTATAAATCTTACTCTGCTGAAACTGTTAGTTTTAATTTTCAAATGCTACTTGTCATGAGTTTTGGTAAAGACCTACATGTATGGGATATGATTAGAGATCTAGAAAAGTGGAAAGGATATAGGGAGAAGGAAGAGGAATTCGCTGTTCACATAACTTTACAGTGCAAGAATGAAGGTGTATGAAATTAAACTAGCAGGAAGCAGTGTGAAAGCAAATTGTTACAGATTAATAATTAGTGAAGAAGAGTTCACTGCTGAAGGAAATCACAAGGTTTGCAGGAAGTGACTAGATGTAAAGGAAAAAATTTATCCAAGCCTATTAAATACTAAAATGTATTATTCAGAGTAACTGCACTACAAGTGGTAGAGGCTGAGAGAGCATTTCAGGTGAATATCAGGCTTCCAGTGTCTATCCAATGATCACCCATGCTATAAAAGCATGGATCTTCT